ATATTTTCCCCCCCATGTCTCTTTAAAGAAAAGGAGCCCTAAAAGGGAATGATGGGGGTGAATAACCCATCTCCTCATTATTTTGTCCACCACTTAAGCCTAGTACCCAACACACCAATTTTGGTTCATTGATTTCTGGTCTCATGTTGTTCTTGTTTATCAGGCATGGTCTCAACACTGTCTTGAATTATGTCTGTGCTCCTTTTTATTTGGACTAATTCAGTCTGCCTCTTTTTTGCACCTTTTCCCCATTAACATGTCTTGCTATAGGTTAGTGCAGGAGTCGGCAACCTTTCAGAAGTGATGTGCCGAGTCTTCATTTATTCACTCTAATTTTAGGCTTCGCGTGCCAGTAATACATTTTAACGTTTTTAGGTCTCTTTCTATAAGTCTATAATATATAACTAAACTATTGTTATATGTAAAATAAATAAGGTTTTTAAAATGTTTAAGAAGCTTCATTTAAAATTAAATTAAAATGCAGAGCCCCCCCAGACCGCTGGCCAGGACCTGGGCAGTATGAGTGCCACTGAAAATCAGCTCGCGTGCCACCTTCAGCACGCGTGCCATAGGTTGCCTACCCCTATTGTGATATAAACTTTCACTCACATCTTACAGTTGGGCTCTTACGGCAAATTTGTTGGCCCAATTATAAAAAAAAACCCGATACCTTGGTTTAAAAAAGAGTATTAAATAGGAAACCAAAGGTCAAGTATTAAAATCAGATGATTAACTTTCTATTTACATGGATTAGTGGTAAGTTAGGTATTAAAAAGTATAACCACGGTATGGTGACATTGTAATTACAGCATAACCACACAGTATCATAAAGTGTAACTGATTTATCATTGGTTATTGTCAAAGTAAACCATTATACACATCTTGAAGATTGGGTTGAGGTTTCTGGGACACCCTAATGTTGGTCTGAAGCTTGTTTTTATGACACCGGACTTGGGGAGTTAATTTGCCCTTTCTTTTCTTTTTAAGTGGCAAAAGAAATCTGCCACTGAGTGTGTTTTGAATAATTATCCAGCGGAACTGTAGAAATTATTATCTATGTTACACTAATGCCTAGAGACCCCAACTGGTTTTGGACCCGCATTGTGCTGGGCACCGTAAGATTTAGTCCCTGCCCCGAAGACTTTACAATCTAAATAGACAAGGCGGACAAAGGATGGACTTGATCACACAAGGTGCTGGGTGCTTCCCAGAGATGCTAAGCACCCTGAACTTCCAATGAGCATTGAGGGCACTGGAGACATCTCAAAAACATTCATCATCTTGCTGGATCAAACCCAGTGGGCTAACTGAAAAACTGTATAAATAAGTGATTTCTCTGCTAGCTGCCCAACAGTTGCAGTGAAAAATGCCACGACTTAAATATCTGCAATTCCCAAATCATGCAAAATAAAATCCAGAAACTAAGAAAACCAAGATCCACGCCTCCTTTCCTTAGAATACCTGGGAAGTACATTGTGCGTCAAATTCAGATTGGCCTATTTTCACTAAATCGATGCTACTGAATGACAAATAATGCGTTGAGCAGAGTTGTCATCAAGAACTAAGCTGGGAGAAATTTATAAAACTTGAAGAACAGCAGCTTTTAAAGTGTTGAATGTCCGTTCAAGTGTATGTCAGTCCTGGAAGATGGTGAACAAATAAATCTGATGAGGGAAGGAGTGATCAGTGGCGAGAAGGAAATGTGATTTGAGGGATTGAAATAAACTTTAATATCGGCTAACGATAAATCATGACACCGCTATGGCACGCTGCTCCTTGTCATGTACAGAGCTGGTTACCAATAAGATCAAACCCTGCCTATACACGCTGGTGATGGGTGCTTTCCAGATAGAATTAGGTAGATTCACAGCATAGTGGAACGTGCCCCGTATTAAAAATGTCCCATTGTATCACAATGGTGCAACACAGTAGGCCATATCCTTGACTGGTGCAAATCAGCATGGCACCATGTAAGTCAATGGAACTATGCCTGCTTACAGAGGACCTGGTCCTATTTTTATGTGGTAAAAACCACCTGCAGTAGGGTTACTTTTATTGTTGTTGGTAGAGTCAGACAAACTGCTTCTAGCAGCTGTTGCGGGATGTGAAAAGAAGGCTGTCCATGTGGCTCCACTAATCTTATCTGAGAGATCTTGCGTTTGGTAGGAGTTCTTACAGATTGTCACTGGCAGGTCATTTAAGGCCTGGTGTTGTATTATTGAAGCCAGTGGACTTCAATGGACGTAGGATCAAGCCTTTAATCCTTAGCAACAATATAATAATTGATGAGAACAATCACTGTGCACATAGTGGCACAGCTGTGCACAGTACATGACAACCCTCCCCTCACTTCTCCTCTCCCCACCCCCGCAAACAAAACAAAAACCAAAAGGCTGGATTCTGCCCTCACTCGCTCTCCATGCAATCCCGCCGAAATCAGTGAGGTTGAGTGAGGTCTACCTACGGGTAGTGTTTGACCTACAGTTTAGCTCAGTGGTTCTCAACCTCTTCCACGCCTTGACCCAATGCCACAACTGAAAATACTTTTGAGCAATGCCCTCACCCCTTCCCATCTAGACATAAAACAAGGGACAGTGGCTGTGACAGCCTGACACCTGTTTGTGACTCCCAGTTTGGGAGCCCCTCTCTAGACCAGGCTCAGTCCATCAGTTATACAATGTGCCATGAGGTATGGAGCAGAGGGGTGTGGGCTTTACATGGAGATTTGTACACTGACTGCCGTGGAAGGCTAGCTGTACGCCTAATGAATGGAACTATTGTAGTTAGGCAAGGAGTCCAGCCCTCTGACTGCTTTTCCTGCTCACTGTCAGTAGCTAGATACAACTGATTGCCACCTCTAAAGCAACTTAGATGGGGAATAAGGAATGACTAAAATTCAGCTCCTCAAATAGCACAGGTGTTAGTTGTATAGTATTTATTTAGCTTCTGTTTTGCTTATGATGTGATTCAAGCGTATGAATTACTACACTACATTGCTCGGGAATGCCAGGGCTTTTAGTCAGTTCTGCATTTTTGACCTGAGCACGCCAAGGCTCTCTCTCTTTGCTTGTGAAATAGACTGCATTCAAGCTTGGTGCCACTCCAGTTTGACAAGCCGTGTGGAATGTGACTGCTCTATTAATGCTGATCTCCACATCACAGGAGTTTGCAGACTAAAAGAGTAGTACTGGTATTTTGACGTCTCCCAATATCTACTGTTAAGGATTTAAGGACATTCAGAGCATCAGATATCAGAGACGTCCATTGAAGTTTATCTCCTTGTCTGTCCTCTGGTGACAAACAACTCCTCAAGCACTGTAACTGTTTTAACATGGAGTCACAGACAGTCCTCTTGGGCACTCCAGTCTATCTTGCCACCCAGGCAAGCCTACCTTTGTGATAGATGGTCCCTTACACCAAAAATCACAACAGTGTTCAGGCTTGGGGATCCCATGCTTATGCTTCGAAATATTGCACTCTCCAAATTCCAAGCAGCACAGTGATGCCAATTTCTTCTTGACAGGGATTTTTATTCCCTTCCCCTAGAGTTCAAGCTGTGATGGGACAAGCCCCTTCTTCCTGGGTGGTGAGGAAAAACAATCAACAAAGTCTTTTGTCCACTGATATTCCACAATGGTTTAACATGTGTCTATAGGCCTTTTTTTGTTGGGCAGGAGATGCCATCTCTTGTGATAAACTGCTATTTCACACTTGGTAGTGCTAATCTCCTGACTGTGGGGGGAGGGGTAGTGTTCCAGCTTCACAGCAAACACTTTTATAGTTACAGGTACTCGAAACAATCACTCTGCATCTGACCTCTCAGTCATCATTCTCAAAGGAAACCTGCCCAACACCCTCAAAAGATGAGCCTGGGAGCATAAATTCATAACTTTGTTAGACACTAAAAATCATGGAGTAAATAGAGACCCTGGATTGATGGCTTATTACAACAATCTCTAACCCACTAACAACTCCCCCCACACCAGCTGCCTTTCCCCCCTCCCTTTCTTTCCTCTTTATGACTGGAGGGGCCACTTCACTTTTTCCACATCAGTGTCCTGGTGCCAGTGCACAGATTACAAGATCCTGCTGAACAAATGGAAGCGCTGTGGGGCCCTCTTTTTTATTTTTATTTATTTTATTGCACAGTGCTGAGCACACTGCTGGCATTAAACAAATACAGAATAGTTTATGTTGTCTCAGTTGTTTGAAGATAGGGCCCGAACCAGATCACACTGAATTCAGTGTCAAAGTTCCGAACGAGTTCTCTGGGAGGAAGAATAATTCCCTTAATTAAGTTTGTCCTGTACAGATCTGGGTTCATTTCCCAGCTCTGTCCCAGACTTCCTGTCTGCCCATGGGCAAGCCATTGGCTTGTCTACACCACACAGCATTTAAAGATAAGGCTGTGTCGACACAGCCTTGTCACTAAAAGTCAGTGTGTGTAAACGCTTTGTCGGCACTTTTGACGACAAAATACTTCCAGCCCTGCGAGCGGCATTAGCTTTGTTGGCAGGAGAGCGCTCCTGCCGACAAAGCCAGGTTCACACTGCCACATGCATCAGCAAAACTTTTGTCTTTCGCAGGGGGGACTTTTTTAAGTACCCAAGAAAGAAAAAAGTTTTGACGACAACTTTGCAGTGTAGACATACCCTTAATATTTCTGTACCTCAGCTTTGCACTGGGAAAAATAAAGGTACACAAATAATAACAAACAACTTGTTTTCTCACCCCTTTTGTCTTGTCTGCTTAGGTTGTAAGCTCTACTGGGCAGGGACAGTCTCTTGCTATGAGCATGTATGTTGCCTACAAGAACAGGGCCCCAATCTTTGCTGGAGCCTCTAGATACTATCACAGTAAAGTTAATAAATAATAAACAAGCCTCTTCTGAATTGATGTCAAGCAATTAGCATCACTCACATCAGGGATCCAGGTCTCTTTAAAAAAAAAAAAAAAACCCCACAACTCTCTACTGACATGATCCAGCTTGTCTCACTGACCTTGTCTTTCTCTTCTCTTCCTGCTCTCTCCCTTTATCTGGCAGCATCCTCTTCCCTGGCCCGTTGCAGAGTGTGGACGTTTACTGTGCAAGAGCCCTCTCCACAGGAGCTCCTACCCTCAGGAACGGCCTTTGTGTACGTCTCTGCCCCTTAGACCTCCATCTGCTTTTTGAATCCCATCTGAAAGCACGTCCTTTCCTCGTTCCTTATGCCGGCCGAACTGAGCTCCCTCTCCACTCATTGTTCATTTTGCCTTTGCGATGGTCTCCTCTAACCCTGTAATGCAGCATGAGATACAGTTTGTAAGAAACGTGTGGAAACTTGGAGCAGCATGAAGGCTGCTCTTAAAAAACAAACAGACAAACAACCCTCCAAAACCCCCAAGGCCAACTGGAACTACTCCCAGGTGCTGACCTCCCGGTGGAGAGAGCTGGAGCACAAGCTGCTGTGGCCACACTCACTCCCAGCTTTCCCCACCGTGCCAGGAGGTGGTGTAGGAGGAACTCTCTCCTGCTGGGGCACTGTGGACATCTTCCAGGCCTTTAACGTTAAGACACATTTTTATTTATTCATGGCGACTAATGCTTCCTATTGTACCTGTCAGACAACTGGGCTGAGGACAGAAGCATTTATAAGGATGTCATTCTCACATGAACTTGTTAATTGAGACATACCTTTGAAAAGCAATTGAAGAATACATGATCGTGGGGTTAAGACCCTGCCATTAGAAGCAGAAGATCTGAGTTCAGCACTTAGCTCTGCACCAGACTATGTGTGGGGCTTTGTACAAGTCATTTATACATTTCTCTGCCTCCAATTCCCCACCTTTAAAATGGGGATGAGGACACTTCCCCTACCTTGCCAGGGTGTTGTGGGGATACATCATTAGTATCTGAAGCCTTACAAACACTCACCAAGATGTCTATACAGCCCTACAATAATAAAGACAGTACAGCATTGTTCAGATGCTCAAATGGAAGCCAGTTCCTAAAGTATGATGATAAAGATTAAACATTCACTCACTTTAAAGCTTTAATTACGAGCACATTTTCACTGCAAGAGGCCCACCCAGTCTTGCTCACCACACTCAATGGAATGTTAGAATCATAGACTATCAGGGTTGGAAGGGACCTCAGGAGGTCATCTAGTCCAACCCCCTGCTCAAAGCAGGACCAATTCCCAACTAAATCATCCCAGCCAGGGATTTGTCAAGCCTGACCTTAAAAACCTCTAAGGAAGAAGATTCCACCACCTCCCTAGGTAACCCATTCCAGTGCTTTACCACCCTCTTGGTGAAAAAGTTTTTCCTAATATCCAACCTAAACCTCCCCCGCTGCAACTTGAGACCATTGCTCCTTGTTCTGTCATCTGGTACCACTGAGAACAGTCTAGCTCCATCCTCTTTGGAGCCCCCTTTCAGGTAGTCGAAAGCAGCTATCAAATCCCCCCTCATTGTTCTCTTCTGGAGACTAAACAATCCCAGTTCCATCAGCCTCTCCTCATAAGTCATGTGCTTCAGCCCCCTAATCATTTTTGTTGTTTAGTTACAGTTACAAAAAGCCCAGCACTGTCCTCAACCAGCACAGCTGAATTCATGCTGAAACAGCCTATCCCTTTCCATTCCTCTTCCTCCTGTAGGGCAGTGCCGGAATCTTTGAGAAGTCAGAGTGAAATGACTTAGGACCGCAGTCAGACTCCCAACACAATGGGCCTGATTCCCATTGACTCTAAGGCCCCTCTGTGCTGCCAGAGTGGTGTAAGCGGGTGTGACGGGTCTGGCACTGCAGCGCCCCTTTGGGGCAGAGGAGGGTGGGGTGCCAGGGACTCGCCTCTCAAGTTTCCTGTCCTGCCTTCTTTAAGAGCGTCCCAACATGGCCCAATGGCAGAGTCCATATACCTCGCCCCAAGTGTCAGGGCAGCTTGGCCCAATGGCCAGAATCTATCTTTCCCCCTCTCAGGGGGGGAAGTGTCGCCCAATGGTCGGAGGAGTAGGGGGACTCGGGCCCACCCTCTCCACCAGGTCCCGACCCAGGGCTCTCCTAGTGGCGGGGTTCCCCTTGCCGTTGGCTCGGCGGGGATCCGCCCGCAACACGCCGAACGTCAGTGCTGCTTTAACGCGGCTTGTCCCTAAAGTTCCCCTGGGTCACTTCCTACCCTCTACGTCGTATTCTCCACTCCGCGGGGTTGGGGGGTTTCCGGTCCGTTTCCCTCTGTCATGTCCTCCGTCTGGGACGCAGGGTACGTACCGGCTGGGCTGGCTCCTGGATTCTGGAGCGATGGCTGTCCCTCTTTGGAAGCTGGATGTGTGCGGTCGGTCAGCCCCGACTGAGCAGTTTTGCAGGTTTTTATACCTAGTCTCCAGTTGGAGCATGCCCAGTAGGGCTTCCGGGGCGGGGCTTCCTCTGCCAGGAAGGAAGTGACCCCTGCGGCGCCAGTGCGGGGCCACTCTGCCCCGTCACAATGGGTCTTGTGTAACTGAGAATTCAGGCCAGTATGGCCATCCAAATCCCATCTGCCCAACCTTGTGGAAGCTAAGCAATTCCTTTATAAAAGAGATTGTATTTCAAACATCAGCATCTGGCATTATGCTGTAGCTTTAGATTTTTAGTTATTTAGATTTTTGAAGTGGTCTGATAATACTAGCATTGGAGAGTCTTTCTGCTATTTCTATACTGTATTTGAGATTTTCAAAAATGCTGAGCACCCAGAGTTCAAACTGGAAGATACTAAGCACATCTGAAAATCAGACCCAGATTTCTGCGGCAACTAAGTTTAGCATGTCAGAGTTGGGGTTACTTTTCCTGTTCTGTATCATACTAATAAAGCAACAGACGTTTGATTGATAATGATCACTTCTTAGAATGTGAAAAGCTAACAGTTGACCTTTCCTTAGCAAACTGTTTACCTCTTAAATGTACACAATAAACCAGATTTTGCTCTACTTTCATTATGCTTACTGAGTATGCACATGACATAATTTAAACAAGCTTATCTTACTCAGGGGAAAAACATTCCTACTACAGTTTAGGTAAAACAAGCAATTATTCTGTTACTAAGTGTAATTACTGCCTAATGATTTGCTTTGATTAATAGGACAATCAACATCTGCTCCTACTAATAGGGATTAGTAAGCCCAAGCTTTTTCTTACATCGGAAGGTATGTTTTTTCCACTATAAAGATTTATTTTATTCAGACATCTCCAAACAGGAAAAAATCTTTGTGCTGTCTTCTCTAAGAAATGTAATAAAGAGAGGATACTCTATCTTTCAAACAATACTTCCTAGAAATCTTTACATACTCCTCCATTCATAAATATATATTTTCACGAAGCAAAGCAATACCTTAATTTTCAACTGTCATTAATTAAAACAGTTACCTATAGCAGTCAGGAGCAGGAACTATAGCAGATCAAATTAAAATTACCGACGTACAATTTTAAATTGTTTATATTTTTAATAGACGGGTTAGAAGAAAGAACTATATTGGAATTGACATTTGATATGACTTTACTACTAATTATTATTAGATACTTTTTCTACCTACTTAGGAAATGAAGGAATGGAATTTCTAGAAATAGTTGACATTTTTTGAAAGCTCCTTTTTAGTTTCTATTTTCTTCCTGTGCTACTTTGAAGAATAACAAAATACAAGTCTACAAGGCTAATCATTGTTCACTGCCACTCATCTTCTATTGATCCTAAAGACTCTCAGATGGAGGGTAGTTAGATTCGAGTGCTAATCCAATAGGATAACAGACATCCCCATATGGTTAGTCACCAGCTTTGCCATAAGCCAATCAATAATCACTTTGATGAAGAAAAATAAGATTTTTTTGTGTGTGTGTGCGGAAGGTTAGTGGCCGATCACTAGGACTCTGACAGCGACAATCAAAGTACTGGGCAATACCTAGATGTTATTTGTTGGACTTTTCAGTTTCTGCTGTGTCCACACAAACACTGTTCATACAATTTCTTGTGAAAAGACTTCTGACTGCCCAGGAGATTTTACAGATACAAGAAATGAGTTAGCTTGGGCCACACAGAGTCTAGCATCTTGCTTTTAAAGAAAGGGACTGAATACTTCATATAATCAGAATTGCTTAAATATTTATATGTTAAAACAGGGAAGTGTCCCTTAGGAATCTGCATAACCATAAGCCATTGAACCCAGAAAGTTTGAGATTTATTTTTTAACCTCTAGAAGATGGATGCTGCAACAATGGAGAGCTAACGCACAGTAAAGTATTCATAAAGCTCACAGATTTTTCACCTGCAGATCTGACATCCAAATGTACCATTTGAGCTGGGTCAAAACACCAAAGAGAGTCCAGGAACACTCACATTTTTAAATACATTTGCTCTCGACATGCTAATGTCCCTTTACATTTGCGTTCTGTGAGCGTTCATTTGATTTCCGTTTTGCCGCCTTGAACGTTCACAGAAAGTGAACTTCAAAGTTGCATGTGCAAGTCCTGTATTCACAGAAAATGTATTTCAGAGTCTCCTGCATGAGAATTCATGCTGGAAATGTTCTCATCTAGTAAAAGGAACAGGAACAGAGATTGTCTCACCAATCACAGCTAACCAGCACCTCTCCAGGAGCAAAGACTGAATATCTACAGAGAACTGTCCAGGATTAGGCCCTACATAAATAAAAATAAAATTAGTATGGTAAATAATTTCAATACTTAACAAATTCAAGGAACTCAATCTGCTTGTCCACATTCAGGCAGCAGAAAAAGTGGCTGAATTAACTGGTTGGATACATTACCTGTTACAAATTATTTGCTCCGCTTTTCATGCCATTGTTCCTTGTAGGTCTGCATGTGTGTTTAGACAGGCTGTCCTCTTTCATAAATCTGTGTCAGTCACGGGCTTAGGATCTTCCAATTACTTCCATACCCTTTTCCTTTTCGAATGTGGTTTAAGCAGCACAATTTCCCCTACTCCCAGTCACAAAGCTACAGTACTGGTGTTATTGCTGCATTTGAGAGTTGGAGCTGCCAGGTTATGCGGTCTCTGTGCAGGCACTTTATTAATATGTTAGATTTTCAAAGCAGGGCAGGTGATTTAGCCACATATCAAAGGCACATCTTAGCCTGCCCCATGCTGATAGATATGTAGCTAAAACCTCTGCACTGCTTTGAACACCCTAACCTGCATAATTATTATTATTATTTATGTGTATTGTGGTAACGCCTAGGAGTCCCAATCACGGATTAGGACTCCATTGTGCTAGGGGCTATACAAACTAAAAGAACAAAAAAGACTGCCCCTGCCCCAAAGAGCTCGTACATGTTTGCTAAGTTACAAGTCTCATTCACACAAGAATGGCCACACTGGTTGCATTGCAATATAGTAGTAAAAGAACATTCAGAATGTGTAACCTCACATCAGCATCTACATGTACTTTCCCCAAGCAAGTCTCCAAATAGACAGGTTTCAGAGTAGCAGCCGTGTTAGTCTGTATCCGCAAAAAGAATAGGAGTACTTGTGGCACCTTAGAGACTAACAAATTTATTAGAGCATAAGCTTTCGTGGACTACAGCCCACTTCTGTATGCATATGCATCCGAAGAAGTGGGCTGTAGTCCATGAAAGCTTATGCTCTAATAAATTTGTTAGTCTCTAAGGTGCCACAAGTACTCCTATTCTTTCTCCAAATAGAGGTTCTCAGTATTGGAGGTACACAAATATCTGGACACATTTGCAAAGGATTTGTGAGTGTGTATTGTTTGCAACAAATTATTTGAACAGCTGTCAAGCTGCGATAATGTTTCAATAAAAAGTGAAAAAGAGTCCTGTGGCACCTTATAGACTAACAGATGTATTGGGGCATAAGCTTTCGTGGCTGAATACCCACTTTGTTGGATGCATGTAGTGGAAAAAACTAGATCCAGACTAACCCGGCTACCCCTCTGAATGTTTCAATAGTGACTCAAAAGGGAAGAGTCCCACATTATCAAACCACACCGCTCCCTGAAGCATCTCGGTGCTCCTGGTAGCTCACCCATCCAACTAATGACCATGCTTACCCTTGCTTAGTTTACAAAATCTGATAGGATCTTAGCACCAGCTGGTTACAGGCTACAAAACCAGATTCAGCTGTGGTAGCATGCATGAAACACAGCAAGTTCAGCTACAGGATGAGATCTGTTCTAATAAAAGTTCTTCTGTAGGCCC